GTCAGATAAGTCACCAGGCGTGGTGGCGCACGCCTTTAATCCCAGCACCCGGGATGCAGAGGCCGGGGGATCTCTGTGAGTTCAAGGCCAGCCTGGTCTACATAGTGAGTTCCAGGACAGCTGGGGCTACAGGGAGACCCTGTCTCAAAAAGACAAAAAAAAAAAAAAAGTCTGATAAGTCAACACTACATTTCCGTAGTGTACAACTTCAAAGAGTGCAGCAACTTGATAGACACAATGCAACCTCTGGTTATAAGAAAATTATACAGGGGCTGGAGAGATGGCTCAGCAGTTAAGAGCACTGGCTGCTCTTGCAGAAGACCTGGGTTCAGTTCCCAGCACTCACATGGTAGCTAACAACTGCCCATATCTCTAGTTTCAGGGAATCTGATGCCCTCTTCTGATGTCTATGGGTGTTTGTTTTAAATATTTTATTCACTATTTTTATTTTATGTGTATAAGTGTATTGCCTGTATGTGTGTAAGTACACCCGTGTCACGCAATGCCCTCGGAGGTCAGAAGAGAGTATTGGATCCTCTGGAACTAGAGTTTGGAACGGTTGTTAGCCACCATGAAGGTGCTGGGAATCAAACCCAGGTCTTCTACAAGAGCAGCCAGTGCTTGTAATCACCGAGTCGTCTCTCCAGCCCCATAAAATAGTTCTTTTAAAGAAGAAAATTATACAAAGCACAAGACTTCTCTGACTCTAAAGTCCATTCTTAGACTGGGCATTGTTCCAGCTACACAGGATCATGCTTCACTTGAGTCTTCCGCAAATTCCCACCATCTGTCTGCTGCGACTCAGACAACTTGCTCATCTCCCCTCAAATTCATTCAGCGAGTGAATCATATCTTCCACCCTATCACCAAATTCCTCATGCTCTGCCAGGCATGGTGGCAGACACCTACAGTTCCAGACACTGTAGAGGCTGAGGCATAAGGAAGCCTTAGTTCAAGACTATCCTGGACAACATAGTGATACCCAGGAAGGGAGACAAGGAGGAAGTGAAAAACATAAGGGAGAAAAAGAGAGAGAAATCAAGAAGAGAGGAGGGAAAAGGGGGGAACAGAGGCAGACATCAAACACTTCACAGGATTTTGCTTGTGACTATATACTTGAAAGGTCAACAGAGCTACTTCCTCTCTTCAAAATCCTCCAGGTTTTCTGGAGGTGGCAGATTGCCTAAGCTTGGGAAATGGCTCAGTTGGTAATGTGCCTGTTGCACAAGCATGGGGCCTGAGTTTGGATCAGTTGCACGTGTGTGCCTATAACCCTAGTGCTGGGCAAGTGGGACAGGAGATCCCTGGAGCTCACTGGCCATCCAGTCTAGCAGAACTGGTAAGCTCCAGGTTCAGTGAGAGATGCTGTTTCAAAAAATAAGGTGGGAAATGATCTTGGAAGACACCCAACATCGACTTCTGGCCACACACACACACACACACACACACACACACACACACCTTTTGAGTCAGAGTCTTTCTAAACAAGGCCTGAGAATCTGCATTCTGAATAGATGTCCCTCCCTCAGCTGCTCTTACGCTCATTTTCCTAAGAGCTTCCTCTTCAAGTCTCACTCTGTCACTGTGCTGTGTTCTATCCTGTCCTCACATCACAGTTCACGACTACATAGAACTCCCAATTCTGCTGACTCTTAAGAGTCACCTTGCAAGATTTGCTCAATACACAGATTTCAGACCTCAAACCCAAACTTAGTGACAATCAGAGCCTTAAGAAGCACTTCAGAAGCTGGGGATGCAACAGGGATGATGGGTAGAGTACTTGCTTGGCATGCCTGAGGACCTTAGTTTGATCCCCAGCACCACATAGGCCAGGTGTGGTGGCATACACCTGTAACAACTCCAGCACTCAGGTAGTAAAGGCAGGAGGATCAGGAGTCCAAGATCATCCTTGGCTATACGGTGAGTTCAAGGCCAACCTAGACTATATTACATCTTGTCTCAGAAAAAGAAGGATGAGGGCTAGAGGGATGGCTCGGTGGTTAAGAGCACTGGCTGCTCTTGCAGAAGACTTGAGTTCAGTTCCCAGCACCCACATGGAGTGACTCACAACTGCCTATAACTCCAGCTCCAGGGGATCTGATGCCTTTTGGCCTCCACAGGAAGCTGCACATACTGCCACCCACATATATACCTAATTTTTAAATAACAATATTTTTTTTAAATATTTTATGCCAGGCGTGGTGACACACGCCTTTATTTATTATTTTTATTTTATGTGTATGAGTATATTGCCTGCGTGTATGTGAGTGCACCCGTGTCGTGCAATGCCACAGAGGTCAGAAGAGGGCATCGGATCCCCTGGAACTGGAGTTAAGGATGGTTCATAGCCGCCATGTGGGTGCTGGGAATCGAACCCCGGTCCTCTGCAAGAGCAGTCA